GCGCGGTTGATGCGTGCCGTGGTAATTCCCAGCTATCGTTGGGAAGGCTGATGGCACAGAATCACTTGAACACTGGAAGCAAGAGGTTGCGCAGTGAGCGGCACGACACGCGTGCACTCCAGCACCTGGGTGAACAGGAGCAACGACTCTGTCTCAAAGAGGACAAGTGAAAAAAAAAAAAAAAAACCGATAAACCTCGGTTAATCTTAAAAAATTAATTTATTTCTTGGGTGGGACGTAAGAGAAGAAGTATACATTTCTACTGCACGCATTATAAACCTTTCGTTTAAAACAAGGCTTGGTAGTAAATATTTAATCAAGGATCTCTTTTTAAAAAGCTCCTATACTCTAACCAGATAGCTGTTTATTTTGAAAAATGTGGGTATCTTCCAAAGACAATAACGAATGCTAGAAAAACTATGGATATATGTTTCTTAGAGCCACTTAATACAGAAAAATTGACAAAACCCCCATTTCGAATTTAGTTAAATAGATTGAAATCTCCGCCTCCATAGGGGGCTAAAAATTCTATATAGCCATTAAAATAGATGATTTTAAAGGAATATGCCAATTAAGGATTACGAGAAGTATTCAACAAATTAAGGAACTTGTGATGATTTTCATTCCAGAAAAAATTTCACATTCCACAATTTTAAGTTTTATTCTCTAGTAAACCCTAGAAGGTAAGTCAGCTATTACAAAAATTATCCTACATATCTTTAGTATAAATAGCTCAAATATTTCTTTAAAACTAGAATGTGATACCTGAAATTACAGAGCTTTTGTTTACATTCAAGGTTCTGATGCTCTAACTGTGATTTGGTTTCGTCTGTTTCAGATAGTTCCTTTTGTAGCATGCTAATCTTATTTTTCATTTTTTGAAATTTTACTTTAAGTTGTTCACAGTTACATTTTTTATGTTCTATTGATCTTTCACATGCAGTTATTGCATTCTTGATTTTCAATAGGCTAACAAAATCTGTAACCGGGAGAAAACAAAATAGAGATAAAATACATGAGTAGGTTTTTAAATATAAAGGACTGTGCATTTCAACATGGCACTGATTCATACACTGAATGGATATGTATCTATTAAGTGCTTGCAATGTAGAAAATATTTTAAAAAGCTCCAGATAAAACAGACAACACGTCTGATCTTGTTTAGCTTAAAGTATAGTAAAGAACACAGAAAAAAATGTGACAATTACAAATTCAGATAGATACTATAAGAATACATAGTTTTTCAGTCACGTAAGAGAATCTGACCTATACTTGGCCCAGGGAGTATTTCTCTGAGGAAGAGAAGGCTACACTGAGAAATAAAAAAAGAGAAGGAAGCAGCTGAGCAAAGGAGGAAGCAAAGCACTCTGGCTAGTCTGCTGCATGTGCTGGAGTTCTGCTGCAATCTGCTTCCAGCCAAGAGGGAGCAACGGGTCCTCCTTACCTGAAACAACCAACACAGACAAAATATATTAAACAATGATTTTCAACACAGTGGACTTCAGATAATGAAGATGGTCATCACTGAAAGACAGGAAACAAATGTAGGCCTTTTTGTTGATAGAGCTTCTTTTGTTGCCAGAGCTCCCAGGCCATGATAAAGCGAGAAAATCTGACATAGATTCCCTGAGCTGGGGCAGTGACACTAAGAATCTAGTAAAACAAAAGCAGAAAGAAATCACAGGACAGAACACTGGAGAGGATAAAGCAGCAGAGGAAACAAACCCTGGAGATCTGCAGAGGTCCCCTCTAAAGTATTTAGTGGAATAATGAAAAAAATGGATGTGTGCTAGGAAACTTCCCAAGACCTAGGGGTGGCGAGTGGTGGGGGGACACAATAGAAAAAGATTAGGAGAAACCATGCCTGGTGTTCACAAAGTGCCCAGAAAAGGGTCCATTACCCAAGAGCCAGGCCCAAAAAACTCATACTTCACAGGATGATAAATAATCCAAAAACTCTTGCCTCAGGAGTGGCAAGTTACCCAGAATCTAGAAGCAAGAACAAAAAGAATTCTGTTTATAAGTAAATCACTGTACCCCAAATAAAGCTCGAGACAGTAAGTGGAGGCATGAAAGCTATTTTTAAAAAAATCAAACCACACCTGTAGAAATGCAAATTACAATGTCTGAGGTAAAAACTACAATCGAAAATAAACACAGATCACAATCATAAATTTGTTGTGATGAACCATGAGAAACCTTCAAGCAACTAATATATAAATCTCCAAATAGAAAACAACAAAGAAAAGAAATTGGAAAAATAATTGGCCCAAAACATTCTAAACTTGGCAAAATTTATATTCCCACAGATCCAGAAAGGAACTGTCTGGGACAAAAAAATAAATAAAACGGTGGCTCAAGCCTGTAATCCCAGCACTTTGGGAGGCTGAGACGGGCGGATCACGAGGTCAGGAGATCAAGACCATCCTGGCTAACACGGTGAAACCCCGTCTCTACTAAAAAAAACAAAAACAAAAACAAAAACAACTAGCCGGGCGAGGTGGTGGGTGCCTGTAGTCCCAGCTACTCAGGAGGCTGAGGCAGGAGAATGGCGTAAACCCGAGAGGCGGAGCTTGCAGTGAGCTGAGATCCGGCCACTGCACTCCAGCCTGGACGACAGAGCGAGACTCCGTCTCAACAACAACAACAAAAATAAATAAATAAATAAAGTGTACCATTGTCATTTTCTTATACCATCTATGATGTGGTATAACATTACTTGAAGGTAGACTGTGATAGGTTAAAATTATATACTATAAATCCTAAATAAATCACTGAGATAGCAAACAAAGAGTTATATATAATAAACCAAAAAAGAAATACGAAATTAAATCATGGAAAATAGCTGATTAATCTAAAGGAAAGCAGAAAAAGAAGGGGAACAAATAGCAGCAAGACTGACAGCAATCAAACAGCACAATGACAGACAAACTTAACTATATTGAGTATCACATTATAAATGAAACTGGTCCACAAGCCTCAATTAAAATGCAGACTGACAAGACTCGATAAGAAAGCAATACCCAACTACATGCTGTCTATAAGAAATGTATGTTAAATGTGAAGAGACAAATGGGCTGCAAGAATAGAAAAAGATACATGCTAACACTTGACAGAAGACTACTGAGAAGAAATGGTTCAATTAATATCAAAGTAGATTTCACAGCAAAACAATTTCCAGCAATAAATAAGGTCATGTCATAATGATGAAAGTTTCAGTTAATCAAGAAGATATAATAATCCTAAATGTTTATGCCCCTAATAACATAAGAAATTCAAAATACATGAGGCCAAAGTAGATAGAACTATAAAAAGAAATAGACAATTTCTAAGTAATCTGAGATTTCAATACCCTTTACTCAGGAAGTGATAGAACAAGGAGGCAGAAAATTAGCAAGAATAGAGCAGACTTAAAAAACAGCATGCCTTTCAAGTACCTATGGAACACTTACCCAAACAGACAACGTTTTAGGCCATACAATAAATCTCATTAAAAAGATTAAGTAAAAAGAATGTAAGTCATACAAAGTACATATCCTGACCACAAATCAATGATATTAGAAACCAATAACAAAAATAATGCTAAGAAATACTCAAATACATGAAAACTAAGAAACACACGTCTAAAAAACCCTGGTTCAAAGAGACTATGAAAAAAAAATATTTTGAACTGAATAAAAATGAAAAAATAACATATCGGGGTTTGTAGAATGCAGCAACAACTGCACTTAAATACACATTTTTAGCACTAAATATCAATATTATAAGAGTCTCAAATCAATAACCCTGACTTCTCCCCTAAGAAAATGGAAATAAATAAATAAATAAATAAATAAATAAATAAAATAAAATAAAATGAGAGAATTAAACCCAAAGCAAGCAGAGGGATAAAAAACAAAACCATCTGCTGTGGTCTGAATGTTTGTGTTCCCAAAAGTTCATCTGCTGAAACCTAATCACAAGGGCGGATTTTTCGAGGTAGTGAAATCATGAGAGCCAAGCCCTCATGAATGGGATTAGTGTTCTTACACAACACACCCCAGAGAGCCCCTCCACCCCTTCTGCCATGTGAGGACACAGAGAAAAAGAACACATCTATGATCCAGGAAGGTTCCTTACCCCACAGCAAATTTGACAGCACTTTGACCTTGGACTCTGCAGACTCCAGAACTGTAAGAAATCATTTTCTACTGTTTATAAGCTACCCAGTCTATGGTATTTTGTTATACTATTGGTTTCAGGAAAAAAAGGAAGATCAGCAACACCAAACACTTTGGGAGATTGATAAATGTGAGAAATGTCTATTTACCCTGGCTGATCAGGAAGAAGAGAAGATACAAATTACTATACATGCAAATTACTATACATGCATATTACCAAGTCAAACAAGCCAACCTAAAAATGCTACTTTTTGTTTTGTTTTGAGACAGAGTCTTGCTCTGTCTCCCAGGCTGGAGTGCAAAGACATAAGCTTGGCTCACTGCAACCTCTGCCTCCCGGCTTCAAGCGATTCTCCTGCTTCAGCCTCCTGAGTAGCTGGGATTACAGGTGCCTGCCACCACACCCGGCTAATTTTTGTATTTTTAGTAGAGACAGGGTTTCGCCATGTTGGCCAGGCTGGTCTTGAACTCCTGACCTCAGGTGATCCACCCATCTTGGCCTCCCAAAAGTGCTGGGATTACAGGCGTGAGCCACCGTGTCCAGCCTTAAAATGTTACTTTCTGTATGATTCCAACTATATGACTTTCTGGAAAATGTAAAACTACGGATATAGTAAAAAGATCAGTGGCTGCCAGAGGGTGAGGGACACCAGGAAAGGATACACAGGCAGAGTACTGAGGATTTTTAGGGAGGTGAAAATGTATATGACCCGCATACGTGTCAGTGTACCTTAAGACCAAACCCATACGATGTATAGCACCAGCGTACAATGCACACTACGGGCTGCAGGTGATTCTGATGTGCCAATGTAGGCTCATCCATTAGAGCAACTGTACCACTATGGGAGGGTTACTGATAAGGAGGGAGGCTACATATGTGTGCAGGTAGAAGGTATTTGAAAAGTCTCTGTACCTTCCTCTCCATTTCGCTGTGAACATAAAACTGGTCTAATAAATAAACTCTTTATAATAAACCAATAAAGACTTCATCATAACTTCTTTAGAAAATTGAATGCAACAGTATAATAAAAGGACAATACATCATAAACAAATGGGTTTTTTTCCCAGGACTGCAGGGTTGGCTTAACATTCAAACATCGTTGTTATCTGCCAGATTAACAATGGAAAACAGTAGATTCATAGAATCATCTCAACAGATAGAGGCATTTGATACAATTCAACACTCATTCCTGATTTTGTAAAAATGAAAAAGTCTCAGCAAAGTAAGAATCCAGGGACCTTCCTCAGCAAGATAAAGAGCATCTATGATGAACCGACACCTAACATGTATCATGGTGAAAAACTGACTATGTTCCCCAGAAGATGAACAACAACACAGGAATGTCTGCTTTTACTGCTTTTATGCAGCATTGTTCTGAAGACTCTAGCTAGCGCAGTCGGGCAAGAAAAAGAAATAAAAGCCATCCCAGTTGAAAAAATAAATAAAACTATCTTTATACATGACCATGACCACACAATAGGTTTGAGTAAACTCTAACCTGTGGACCAGCTTCTTGTCTTCGTCAGTGGGCACAGCTGTGTTCATTAATGTACAGGTTGTCTATGGCTGCTCTCATACTACAGTGGCAGAGTCTATCAGCTACAACAGAGACCCCTTTTGCCACAAGTCTTTAATAAGAGGGTACTTTGAGAAAGAAAAGGTTTGACAATCTTTGGTCTGTGTAGAAAATCTGATCACATCTACCCAGAATGTACCAGAACTAATAAGTGAGTTCAGCAAGATTGGACTATACAAAATCAACATACAAAAATCGACTGTATTTCTGTATATTAGCGATAGAGTAAAATTTTAAAAATATCATTTATGACTATATCAAAAACTGAAATACACAGCTGATAAAACATAAAAAGACCTATATACTAAAAACTACAAAATATTACTGAGAAAATTAAATATGACCTATATAAATGGAGACATACACTTTCTTCAGGAGCAGGAAGATTCATTATAGTTAAGATGTTCATTCTCCATAATCTATAAATACAACACAATCCCAACCTAATCAATCCCAACAAGCCATCAGACTTTTTTTTTTTTTTTTTGAGACGGAGTCTCGCTCTGTCGCCCAGGCTGGAGTGCACTGGCCCGATCTCGGCTCACTGCAAGCTCCGCCTCCTGGGTTCACGCCATTCTCCTGCCTCAGCCTCCCGAGTAGCTGGGACTACAGGCGCCCGCCACCGCACCCGGCTAGTTTTTTGTATTTTTTAGTAGAGACGGGGTTTCACCGTGTTAGCCAGGATGGTCTCGATCTCCTGACCTCGTGATCCGCCCGTCTCGGCCTCCTAAAGTGCTGGGATTACAGGCTTGAGCCACTGCGCCCGGCCCAGACTTTTTTTTTAAATTGACAAATCGATGTGGAAATGCAAAGGATCTAGTAGAGCCAAAACAGAACCAATAACAAAATCTGAAAACTGATTTTGAGAATTATTACAAATCAATAGTAATCAAAACAATGTGCCACTGGTACAGGATGAGTATCCCTTATTAAAAATGCTTGGAACCAGAAGTATTGCAGATTTTGGATTTTGGAATATTTGCATATACATAATGAGATCTCTAGGACATAGGACCTAGGTCTAAACACAAAATACACTTATTTTTCATATACACCTCATACACAAAGCCTGAAGGTAATCTTATTTTATTTTATTATTTTAATTTTTGAGACAGTCTTGCTCTGTCACCCAGTCCAGAGTGCAGTGGTGAGATCATGGCTCATTGCAACCTCTGCCTCCCAAGCTGAAGCAATTTCTTGCCTCAGCCACCTGAATAGCTGGGAATACAGTGTGCATCACCATGCTCAACTAATTTTTGTATTTTTAGTAGAGATGGGGTTTTGCCATGTTGGCCAGGATGATCTTGAACTCCTGACCAAAAGTGATCCTCCTGCCTTGGCCTCCCAAAGTTCTGGGATTACAGGCATTAGCCACCACGCCCGGCCTCTGAAAGTAATTTTAAATATTTCATAATTTTTGAATGAAACAAAGTTTGCGCACATGAGCTCAGTTATGGAACTTTCCACTTGTGAGATCAGGTTGACAATGAAAACATTGTGGATTTTACAGCATTTCAGATTTGGGATTTTGAATTAGGGATGCTCAACCTATATAAAGAAAGTCAAATACAGACAGTCCCCAACTTCAGGTGGTTTAACTTATTAATTTTACAATGGGTTTAATGAAGTATTACTTAGCTTTTGACTGAAAGGGTGGATTTATCAGGAAGTAACCCTACCATAATTTGAGGAGCATTGAATTAATAGAATTCAATAGAAAGTCCACAAATAGATGACATATAGCCAACCAGTTTATTTCTGACAAAGGCAGGATGGCAATGTGGTAAAGAAAGGATAGCCATTTCCACATATAGTGCTCAAACAACTGGCTGTTCAGATCCAAAAAGTTAACTTGAATCTATACCTCATTCTATATACAAAAATAAACTCAAAATGAAACATGCATTTAAATGTAAGACCCAGAACTATAAGACCCCTAGAATGATGCACAGAATAAAATTTTTGAGAAAATTACTTGTGCTAGGCAAAGTTTTCTTAGATACGACATAAAATGCAAACTCTGTAACTAAACAAGTTCTTCAAAATTTAAAACTCTTCAAAAGACACTATTAATAAAGTCAACCTACAAACTGGAAAAAATATTCTTGTAAAGTAATAGTATCCAGAACTATTAAAATTCAACAAGCAAGAAAACATCAATCTAATTTTGTAAATGGAAAAAGATTTGAAAACATAGTTCTCCAAAGAGGATATACAGATGGCAAATAAAACCATAGAAAGATGTTTAACATGTTTAGTCATTAGGATCATGCACAGTAACCACATCCATGAGAATGGCTACAAATAAATACTGCAGTACTTAGTGTAACAATGCAGCAACTGCAACCGTCCTATTCTGCTGATGACAATACAAAATGGTACACATCTTTTGGAAAACAATTTAGCAGTTTTTCTAAAAAGGGAACATAAGGCAGCAAAGGACACTTTTGTGGGTGATGGATATAATTGTGTTGATTATGGTGACAGTTTCACAGGTGTATACACCTGTCAAAACTTACTAAATTGTACATCTTACATATGTGCACTTTAACATACATCAACTATATTTCACTAAAGCTAAGGATTGTAGGAGCAAACACCTGGGCGCTGGCTGTGACACAGAGAGAAACAAGGGTATGAAATAAAGTAGTATAAAGCTAGAGCATTGTCATCTTTACCTTATAGCAATGACAAGTGGCAGCTGGGTGTTAAGCAATCGGGTAACATGATCAGATGTGAATTTTAAAAATGTATATATATAATTATGGTTGCAGAATAGACCATGGTTTTGGAAGGTGGGGAAGTAGGGAAAAGAGTTATAAGTTTATCACAGTATTCAAGGTATGAGATAATGACAACCTGACCCTGGGTAAAGGCATATTTCTGAGATGAACATCCCTATAACACATCAGTGATCTATGGTACGGTGCTAAGCAATGTGTGCATACATTACTATAGGATAGGGAAAAAGCCTTATATTTATGCATTGGTCCTACCTTTATGCTCCATTCCATGTTGTTCAATGAATAACATAAAGTTTTTATCACTGGAATAAGGCAAGTCATCATCCTCCGAGGATGTTTCAGGTGACCAAATTATGTCATTGAGGTCATCCTTGGAATATAGATCTCTTTTAACCTATAATAAATAACACTGTTTCAAAATGTCTACCAAATATTTATGGCAAATACTAAATGTACACCAGTGGGAACTATTCATCTTTTTCTATGAGCAAAACCAAAGTACTTCTTAAAATAACTGACTTTGGTTAAAAGGGTACCTTTATGAATGGTTGCTGCTGCTTTTTGAAAGCCAGTGTCTTTACAACAAAGGATTTTCTGTTTTTTAAGTGAACTTTAATAAGGAATTTTCAACAACATTCTTGACAATATACTTTTACAATACCTTGTTCTTTTCATTAGAGGTTTTCCTTGCAAGCCTAAAAAAAAAAAAAAAAAAATTTCAATCAGGCAAATAGTAAATATGTAAAATACAAAGAATATCTATAACTATTTCTTAAATAAAACCTCTGTATTTGTAATTTCTCTCTCCTATTCATAAAGTTTACAGGAAATTTTTCACAGGTGATATAAAATACAATTATTTTCTACAAGGGGATAAAACTATAAATGGAAAGGGTATATTATAGGACAAATAAAATATATTACTACTAATATAAAACAATTAAGTTTAGATCAAGTTTTCTGACAGCCAAAGAAAAAGAAGAAACATGTTACTTGTATTACTTCATAGAAAAAATATATATAACACACTAGTTTTTTCTCTTGTTGCCCCTCCCTCCGTTTTTTGTTTGTTTGTTTGTTTTGTTTTATTTTTTAAAACAGAGTCTCACTCTGTCACCCAGGCCAGTGTACAATGGCGTGATCTCGGCTAACTGCAACCTCCACCCCCAGGGTTCTAGTGATTCTCCTACCTCAGCCTCCTGAGTAGCTGGAATTACAGGCACCTGCCACCACGCCCAGCTTATGTATTTATTTATTGTTTGTATTTTTAGTAGAGACGGGGTTTCACCATGTTGGCCTGGCTGGTCTTACCACGTTGGCCTGGCTGGTCTTGAACTCCTGACCTAAGGTGATCCACCTGCCTCGGCCTCCCTAAGTGCTAGGATTACAGGCGTGAGCCACTGCACCAGGCCTTGTTGCCCTTTTATGTACAAATAAGCTTTAACTGGTACTAAGACTTATGTGATAAATATTAATTATATAACAGAAACCCTTATTTAAATGATGACATTGGTGAGCTTTTCAGGACATACTGTGCAGGTACTGTGTACTATTCTAAACACTGTACAAGTGTTTAAGTGTCTTGAATCCTCCCAACAATTCTGTGTAGTAGGTAACTTACTAGGCATTTAATACAGGAAGAAAGTAGGCAAGGAAAGGCCATATAATTTGTCCAGGCCCATAAAACTGGTCAATAGCAGACTAAGCATTCAAACCCAAGAACTCTGGCTCCAAAATATGTGTTTCAGGATACTCTATAATATGCTATAAAAGTAATATTTATTTTCAACTGTTTACAAGTAATATAAAAGCAGATGAATTCTTATTATCTATGACTACAAACAATCTCTGAATCTTGCAATTTTTTAAAGTAAGATTTTATACCTATGCAGTTTTGGAAACCTGCTTTTAGTAATCTGAAAACTTGGTTTCTCTAAAGAAATTCACCAAAAAACATTCATTCATCCTTTCAACTATTCATGTATTCGACCAACACTTACTGAGTGTACAACACATGTCAAAGAGCCTGTTGATTGGTCCAGGGAAATATATATATATTTTTACCTTTGAACTATACAGTCCAAAAGTAACAGTCTGCAATGAATTTTTTCAGGAGTTTGCTTTTCTATTATTCATTAGAAAGCCTCCCCCTCCCCACAATCTGAAAAACCATAAAGGTGACACGCCTATTATTTCAGAATACCTTGCTAAAGCACAGCTGTTCGTGATGTTACTTTCAAAGGTACTGTGATACATAAATCATCAAGGAATGTTTAAATTCTATTCAATATGACTCAAGTGTTTGTATGTTTATTATTACAGATTCTAAAAACATATGCATGTGAGTTTAACTTTTAGGTCAACATTTTCACGTACCATTATATTAAAATATTCCATTCCTGAACCAATTCTTAAAGAAAAACCTCTTCCAATAAAATGATACGTGAATAGAAATTCTAAGAGTTGATTCACTATAAATATTTAAAAAAGAATGGATCAAACTTTCCAAAGCTCACACATGCAAACAAAACTAAATTCCAAAAACACATTTCTTCTCTACTGGATTATTCCAAACAACAAACAAAAATACTCTAACAGTTTCCATTTTTAAATTGAAAATGAAACAAAAGTCTGTTGAATCTCACATTCTTCTTCTTTACTTGTCACCCATTTCTCTACTTCCTTTTGCAGTCAAAGTTCTCTCAGGAGTTGTCTGTGTTTAGCACTACAGTCAGGGTTCCATGGCAACCAGCTGAAACTCCTCCTTGACAAGGGCACTAATCATCATCTTAATCACTCTTCCAGCAGCATTGATACAGTTGACTATTCTCTAGATTAGGCTGTCTACACTAGTTTATTTCTAGATAAAGCAATCACTGCTAATATTCCTTCACAGGGAGATAAGAAAATTAGAGATTTTATCCTCCTTCATCCTTAACCATTTCACTAAAACTGCTATCATTATTTTTACAGAAGACTGCCAGTCTTCTAGACTGGGTAGAAGACCAGTAAGTACACTGGCCTTCTCAAACACTGGTGTAACGACAGGTTCTTTTGAGGTGTATTTTTAAAATTTTCATTTTTCTTTACTTCCTTCACATGCAAGGGATGATCACTACTTTAAAAAAATCCATTAAAAAGCCAATGTTTTCTAATAATTCTACTTAAAAAGAATAAAAAAATTATTGTGAAATTCATACTCTTCTCCATCTCAATTTATTTACTAATTCAAAAACCAATTCGAACTACCAACATATCCAAAGAAATGTATATTCCCAGCTTTAAATAAAAAAAGGTAATCAGCCGAGCGCAGTGGCTCATGCCTCTAATCCCAGCATTTTGGGAAGCCAAGGTGGGTGGATCATGAGCTCAGGAGTTCAAGAGCAGCCTGGCCAAGATGGTGAAACCTTGACTCTACTAAAAATAAAAAAAAAAAATTAGCCAGGCGTGGTGGCGGGTGCCTGTAATCCCAGCTACTTGGGAGGCTGAGCCAGGAGAATTGCTTGAATCAGAGGTTGCACTGAGCCAAGATTGCACCATTGCACTCCAGTCTAGGTGACAGAGCAAGACTCCATCTCAAAAACAAGACAAAACAAACAAAACAAAAACAGGTAACCAGGCCAGGCGTGATGGCTCACACCTGTAATCCTAGCACTTTGGGTGACCAAGGCAGGTGGATCACTTGAGGCAAGCCTGGCAAACATGGAAAAACCCTGATTCTATTAAAAATACAAAAACTAGCTGGCGTGGTTGTGCACGCTTATAATCCTTTGGAAGCTGAGGCATGAGAATCACTTGAACTTGAAAGGTGGAGGTTGCAGTGAGCTGAGATAGTGCCACTGCACTCCAGCTTGGGCAACACAACTAGACTTTGTTTCAGGAAAAAAAGCAAAACAGGTAACAGGTAATTATGACACAACGCAATATGTAAGAGCTGATCTAGAAAAAAATTATATCTGAGCATGAGGAAGACTTTATGGAAGAGGCAAAAGACAAGAGGAGCTCACCAGGCCAAAACAAACAAACAAACAAACAAACAAACACCAAAACAAAACCAGAAACAGTAGGAAAAAACCATTCTACATAGAGAATAGAATGTGAGCACAGGGATTAGGCACGTGGCATCCAGTTGTTTCCTGGGAACTTGAAAGGTAAAGTGTAAAACACATGAAAGTAAACACTGAGGGAAGAATGCTACAATAAACTTGAATGCTACGCTAAAAGGCTGGAGCTCACTGCCTGCAAGCAATGACTCTTAGACATGGGGTCATACTTGGATTTGTGCCATAGTTTTTAATAAGTTTCACTGAATTAAGTTTTCAAAATACCACGAGCTACATACAACCTGAAAGAAACTGTGAAATTACCTTAAAGGGAGAAAACACTTTTAAAATACCCGTATGTCTTTATATATTGTTCAAATTAGCATTATTCTGATTAGATAGAATTTTGTTTGAAAATAGAATGATTTTATTAGAAACTTTTAGCATAGTATCTATTTCTAATAAGAAAAGCTGAGTGACCACAATATTGGGGTTTGCTCCCGAATTAGAAAACCATTTATACAGAGAGTATAGCTCATTAAAAAGAGCCCAAAGAATCCAAAAAGGGCATATAATTGCCAGGTAAAATTGTCAGAATGAACCCATGTCAAACTGTATTTTAAGTGAGTATTAATGTTTAAAACTATACACCAGGATAAACTCTATTCACTCATTCAGTAAACATTTATTGAGTTGCTACTTATTATATGCTAGGTTCCTTCCTAGGCAATGAAAAACACAGCGATGACAAAATCCTACTCATGAGTGCCAAGTAAACAAAACAACTAACAGCAGAAGCAAAATATATAGTATGTTAGAGAGGAACAACTCAAGCAGGAAAAAGGAGTGTTTATGTGCAGGAGGGGCAAGGTGGCGAAAATATTAGGATGACTAGATAAGACCTTGCTGAGAGAGTGGCTTTTAAGGAAAGAACTGAAGAAATGGAAGGAGTAAGCAAGGAGGATATCTAACTCCATACAGAGTCAACCGCCCAGTACAGAGGGATGCAGAGTGTGTTCACAAAATAGAAAGAAGTTCCGTGTGGCTGCAGCAGAGTGGAAAGAGTAGAAAGGCAGAAGCATAAGTCAGGAAAATAGGAAGTCAGATCCTGTGGTTCCTTTGGAGTATTAGGAGAAAATCTGGCATATATTTTGAGTGAAATGGGAGGCAATTAGAAGTTTTTAACCAAAAGAGTGACATAATGTGACATGTTTTAATAGGTTCACTGGGTAAAGAATTGACGAAAAGAGGATTAAACATGGAGAAACAGAAAGACCTATTAGCAGTCTATGACACTACTCTAGATGGCCAATCAGATGACAGTGGAGTGGCTTGGACATGAAAGATGTGACTGGCTTCTGGATATATTGTGAAGTTAGACCTGATGAGATCTGCCAACATCTTGGCTGTGGAGTGTCAGAGATGGGGGTCGGGGGAGGGAGACAGAGAGAGAATGTGTGAGTCAAGGAGGACACCAGGGTTTTTGGCAGAGCATTTGCAAGACTCATTATTAATGGAACAACAAGACTACATAAGGGGCAGGCAGGAGGAAGAACATCAGTAACCAGATTTTGGATCTGATAAATTTGACATATCCAATAGCTAATCAAGGAGAGATGTCAAGTAGACAGGCTGATATATAGGTCTGAAATTAAGGAGAGAAATGGGCTGGAGATATAAATTTGAAAATCATTAGCATATACAAGCTGGTAAAAGTCAGAAGAAAAAACCTCAAGAACTGAGCCCTGGGTCACTTTAATCTGTGAAAGGTAGAAGACGAGGAGACGTAACCAAAACAGGCTAAGATGGATGGACTAGAAAGTCAGGAGGAAAATCTAGGCCAGAGAGTGAGATTCTGAGAGCCAGTGAAGAAAGTGAAAGTATTGTTGATAGGTTACATAAAACGAGATCTAAAAAATTATATCTAGATGCGTTACAGTGAAAAATCAGTGACAACATTGAGAATAACAATTCTGGAGAGTGGTGAGAGTGAAAATTATGGCAGTGATGAGTTCAAGGAGTGAATGGAAAGAAAACTTGACGGCCCGATGAGTACAAGCAGCTTTA